TAAGTCTTCTATTGTACTTGCTCTTAATTTTTTTTGCGGGTGAGTACTTGCTCTTAATTAGCAGCTCATAAGTGATTATTTACGCGGCTAGATTGTACTAGCATGCCATTATATTTTTAGAATGCTCTTGTAACGTGTACTAACACATTGTTCTCCCAATTTTTTTGTACCAGGAGTGGAATGCATAGCTAACCTACTAGTTTCGTTCGTGTACACATACGACACTAATTAATTAAACAGCGTGGTGGATCACCTGCATGCATCAATGCAACGCAGCCATCCGGGATCCGACGGATAATGATAGCCGCCCTCCCTGCAACTCGATCGCATGGTCCACGTACGTAACATAACATTTCCGCTGGTAAGAGACAACGACGCAAGGGAGTTTAAGGCGGAGGATGATTAGTTCAGGTGTAAACATCACGCACACGTACTGCTGCTAGTTGGTGCAAGTAGTTGCCATTACCATACGTACATCAAGCATCTCACCCAGCTAGCTCTGCGTCTGCGTGGACCATATATAATTATATATCTATCTCAAACGAGACATGTTTTTGTTTCCTTGTGTTGGTATAATAATGCTCTCTAACATAGCGTCTCATACTCCCTAACATATTGCAGTGTAGCATACCATCCATGTGGAGTCCTATATATTGTAGTGTACGTGATGTTGACACTCGAGTTCAAAAACGACGCTTTTGCTCTCTAACTCTCAGTTAATCACGGGGGGCAACGACTTGACCATACGTACGTAACGACGTTTTGGCATGGAATGGCGACGTTATGCTATGTCGTCTCCCGGCCCCTGATTTTCAAAGTCATTTTTCAACCGCAGGAATTCTCCTCTGTGTTTCTTCCCTAACTGAACTTATACTTCCCCACGTAGCAGAAAGTATACGTTAATTTTTTAGAATGTTGGTTGAATTTAAATATACTTGAGAAACAAACGCAAAAGTTTTGCGGATTTATTACACTCCATGCCATGGCCATACCACACCCAAAATTCGGTAACGTGCTCAGCTTTCCCGGACTCCAGTTCATGGCACGCTTTTCAAGAAAGAAACGACTCCCATTTCGTACTGTGTGTAGCCCAGTAGCCTCTGTGTATCCAAATGGAGGGCATAAGCGTGAAATATCGCGGCCAGCCAGGGGTGTCATTGCACAAACCCACCTAAAGCCCCAACCACCCTACCTCTCAGCATCCGTGTACG